CCACAGGTCAGAGTGGCCCATGAGTCAGCGCTACCAGTGGCTGAAGATCATGGAATGGATGAAAATCAAGTGCTAGGAACTCAAGATGGACCACAGGTCACAGGATCTGTGCATCTGTGATGCAAGCAGCAAGCAGCTGGAGTGAGTGAGCTTGAATTAGTGAGTTTGTGATCTCTACAGCAAGCCAGACTAGCTTGCTGGTGGAGTTAGTGGGTTGGGAAAGCAGGGAAAGAGTGGAGTCTGGAGGAGGAGTGAGATGCCAGTTTAAATGTGTGTATCTCTATGAGTGAGACAAACAGAGGGGTTTATCTAGTGAGGGAAGAACTATGAGGAGGTCGGGTATTCTGGTCACCATGAATTCCAGGGGTTCTTTGAGAGTACTGTCTATGTGTTGTGTATCTCAGTGTACCCAGAGACAATATGATCCCAGGGCAGCTCCTGGGTAGGCAGAGTGTCAAAGACCACTTCATGGAGAGATCCACAGAATAGCAGCTCAGGAGAGCAAGCGCCCAGGGCTAGCTGCTGGGTAGGCTGCACCCTTAAAGCCATTTAGCAGGGGATCCATAGCATGCCTCTGTGTGTGTGTGTGAAGGGGTGTACAGACAGTGAGTGAGCTTGTCTGGCTGCTTGCACCAGGAGTGAGCTTCAGCTGAGCTTCAGGTAGCAGCAGATGGAGAGACCACAGATCCAGAGGTCAGGAGGCTAAATCTTTAAGGACAGTTATTGCAGAGATCCACATTGTATACAAATGCATATATATTTCCCACTAGCAGACCTGAATCCTGACCAACCAGAAAGGGGAGCAGGATGAGGCCATTGGTGGTGCTGTTTCTGTTTGCATGACTGGTGAGTGCTTCTGCCTGTGTTGATCTTTGTGGCTGGCCATTCATAGATGTGCAGTGCCTGCATGTGTGTGTGTGTGCCTGTTGGGAATACCCACCTAACCCTGCTATTGCTTGTGCCTGGGGCCACGGAGCTGCAGCAGCCTGGCTTGTGTGAGGTTACTGGATTTGACAGCTCCTAACACTATTTTTGTATAAGCCCAGGGAATGCTTTCTCTTCCCAGCCTTCTTAGAGAGCATTCACACACTTCCTACTTTTTCAAGTAATGATCATGGAAGGCAGAATAAGCTCAGAAATGTTTCAGTTGTTTTCAAATCTGTTAAGCAAGCAAGTTTTGCTGCTTGAGGCATTCACTCCATAGCAAAGCAAACTCTCTGACTGTTACCTTTTACCATAGTGCCCTTTGCCTTCTATCAGTGTACGTTTGGATATATTCAGAATTCAATTGGATAAGGTTTGGAGCAGCCTACTGTAATTTAGCCTGGCCTTGAGCAGGGGGGGGTGGGTGTTGGTTAAGATGACCTCTGTACCTCCCTTCTAGCTTGTTTCATTCTGTGATTCTACAGTTTTAGTAGCAGATTCTCATCACACAGGTAAAGGGATTCTTTTACTCTCTTCTCAGGATCGACTCACTTGTCCGTGGCTGTAGTTTGCAAGGCTTTGGTTGTATAATTCCCTCTTGCACCACTGCACTGTTAAGACACCAGGGGCAAATATTCTTCAATCCAGAAAGCTGTTAGGCCATCTCTGCCTCCATGAAGGTTGTCTAAGGGTCAGTCATCCTTGGGTGAATTGTCATCCTCTTGCATCAGGGGATCATTTTGTCTGTAACACAAGTGCTTAATAGTCTTGCTTGAAAGTACAGGCAGACCAAAATGTAAAAATTATTAATGTGTCTGTTCTGAACAGCCTGATCTGTAATAGCTTCCAGCCTCTGCCCAGTTTTTCTGGATGTTGACATTATAGCATAATGTAGACCAAGAGATTGGTTTGTGATGTAAATACAGAATAGTGCGAGCTGAAGTATTTGGGATTTTTATTTCACCTTTCTGGCTGGCAAGAGCTGAGAATACTCAAATGAGAGTTTAGATTTTGCAGAGTGTAATGAACCCATTTGACTCCTCTATAAAAAGTGATGTTTTTTTGGTTGTTTTTTTTTTTAGTTTAGAGAAGAGAAATATAGGAGAATCTCTCATTAGTTGTTTTTATCTTCCTTGAAGTAAAATAACAGTTGTAATATGCAATTGGAATATCATTATTCAAAACTGAGATTAAATCAGGAGTAGAAAAAGAATTGTAGAATTATCGTAATTTCACGTGTTTCAAAGCCTCTAGGTTGCTCAGATACCTTGCCTATTCCTCATTTTTAATGCAGAGTAGAATATTGCTCCAATGATACCCTGAGATTTCTGAATCAGTGTTGCCCCTAGCAGCATCATGGGCTGGACTGAGACTGAGTCTAACCTGATGTTGCAAGACCCTTGATTTTGAGCAATATTGAAAGCGTGTAAGTCATTTTTCTTCCAAGGTGATAAATTCAGCTGAACAGATAATTTCTGTTGGCACTGAAGAGGAGCAGAATACTGGTGTGGCCCAGCCCATTGAGGATGTGAAGTGCTACTCAGTCATCAGTGCTAATAAAGTGTCAGAGTGAAGGCTTATACCTGTACACATGTAGTCATTCATACTGTTAAATTATGAGCACAGCCATGGGTTTGTTTGGCCCATGCCAAATAATCTTATCACAAACAGGGGTTTGGATGGACTGAGGACCTTTCCTGGGAGGTGGTTTGGATGCAGCTGTGCACTTCTGTGAGGTTGGAATTTTTAGCCATGGGAACATGAACCATACTGTGCCTGTTGTCCTCAGAGCTAGAGAGCTGTTTAACAGCTTGTTAGATTTATGAGTGTGCATGCAGCTAGTGTGACTGGGGATGTGATTCCAGGCATACAGCCAGTAGGAAAGGGAGGAAGAACAAAAATAGTGAGGGACTTTTGGCCGTAGGTTGCGAAATGAGATTTATGCACACAAAATTCTTGTGTACTTTTCTTATTTTTCTAGTGGTTTCTGACTTAAAGTATTCACTGTGAAAGGGACAGTTCTGTCTGCTTCAGGCTGCCTATTTCTGTTTGCTTGTAAAATACTCACGTGCTTGGTAAATACTGCCCTGCTCTCTGGTGAGAAGTTGTCTGGGGAATCTGCTTGACGTGGCAGAGCAAGGGCTACTGAGCAAGTCTTCTCCATTTCCTTTCTTCTCCATTTCTTTCTCACTTTCTGTATGGCTTTCCATGCCCTGATTAACTTTTCTCTATTTTACTTCTAGAGTTTCCAAGGGGTAGAAGCATTGTACTTTGGTAAATGGGAGACTCAGATCTGATTAGAAAAAAGTTCTTTCTGTGTTGAAAAACGGCCTTGTGTATTATTTCAGCATATGTCTGGGATCCCAGTGGCAAAGTAATGACAAGACACTGTGCAATCCCTGTGCCAGACTGTGCAATTGAGAAGGTAATGGGCATGGGGGAATGCCAAGTTCCTCTGCTGCTAGGGCAGCCTAGGGAAGGCTGTGCCTCAGGGAGGCATAGGCCTTTTGCAGATGTTCTGCTGCTCAGAGGGGCTGTTGGAGCTGAGCTATCCTTGAGAATGGAGCTGCTCAGCATTTCCTGAGGTCCGTTACGTAATTTTAGTGGGGTTGTACTTTAGCTGTAACTGGTGGTTCTTTCCAGTTTTGGCAAGCCAGTCCTGGTATTTTGCACTGCTTTTGAATCAAGGAGCTGCATCCTCAGGGAGGTCTAAATGTCCTGTAGGAATGAATATAGGGAATATAGTTCAGAGACATTGGTGAAGGCTGAGGTCTGTATAAACTTGCTCACTTGATCATGTCTGCTTTAGGATGAGTCTTTCCTTTCCAGTGATTAATGTGGAGTGAATCCCCAGGTGTATTGATAGGGATAGTGACATATGCAGTTCATAACTGGAAATAGAAAACATTGAGAATCTCTCTCCTGCGTAAAACATGGAACAATCATATTACTAAACCTTTGCAAGGTTTAATAATGGATCATGAACCTTATTTGTAAGTAAGCTGGCTGTTAGGTTTTGGGTTGGATTTTTTAATCTGTTTTTTGCAGGTTTTTTTTTAAGTAATAAGATAGAAATATGAAAATCAAAATTAGCAAATAAAGTTCCTCAGAATTTAGGAAAAGCCAATTGATTTATGCAGTATATATCAACACATGTAAATACCTATTCAGCTGAGTCATTTAGTCATTTTCTTATTTTGTGTCCTAAGTACACAGAGTGAAGAGCACATGCTTGCATACCACAGTGGTCTCAGACCCTGACATTCTCTTTTGGAGAATACTTTGTTTATAGTTTGGACTGTCAGAATCTCTTTTGTGTTTCTTTGTACCCAAGCGGAGAATAATTGCCCAAGAGCAGTCAAGTCTGATATCTGATCTGTCTGCAGTGGTAGATTCAATAACAATGGAAATGCAGACTAGTTGTGGGAATAAACTAGGCCTGTGAAGTTCTGCATGTACCCTACTCTTGAGCAGTGTAATAATGCAACAGATTATGTAATACTGGGATTCCTACACAGACCTGCAATGTAATTCCCAGTTCTAGAACAAATTAATCCATTACAGGATCAGCTGGGTCATAAACTCCCAAAGAAATTTGGTTCCAGAGCTGGGAACAAACATGCTTTGGCCTTGTGTCCACAGTTACATGTGCAGATACAATGGGCAACCATAGTCCTAATGAGACTGGCATGCATTCATGTAGCTCATCGTGTGTCCCACCTTTTCTTCTCCAAAAAGAGTGGGGCCTCATCTGAACTGCTCATTATGATAACTCTGCACCATGCTGTCAGTGTGCTTATACTTTGCCTGGGAAAGTCTGGTGAGAATATTGCCAAGCAACTTGAGAATCATGAGTTAGCACAATTATATGCCTATTGCCTCTGCTTTTGTCTTGGCCTTTCTTAATTTATTAGTATGGACATAACCTGTAATATTTAGTCTCAAAACATGAATGTTTATTTTTGGTGTATGGAAGTCCTCTACAAGAAAATCTTGAGAGGAACAGATAAGATTTTAGTCTGACTTGGAATAGCACAGAATACTTTTTTTAATTTAATTTTTTTAAATACAAACAGAAATACTTCTGGATACGACTCAAGAAACCTCAGAGATTGGCTGGACTGCACATCCTTCTGATGGGGTAAGCATTTCCCTTGTCCCTCCTCTCGACTCCCTGTCTGCTGGGAAGACATGCATGCATCTGATGAAGAAAGGGAAAGTGAGAGACTTGGTTTATAGATTTTGTACATATGAAGAATTTGAACGCAGTGTGTTTTGCAAAGCCAGATTGTTAAGAGAGAAGGGTGCTGAGTAGGATGCTATTGCCACATCCTTACCCTCTTCCTTCACCTCTGCTCCAGAAATACTAAAGAGTTCTCCACCCACCCCTCCATATAAAATAGAATAGAATAGAATAGAATAGAATAGAATAGAATAGAGTATTTCCATTGGAAGGTACCTACAACAATCACCTAGTCCAGCTGCCTAACTACTTAAGGGCTGTTGAAGTATAAATGTTATGAAGGGCACTGTCAAATGTCTCTTAAACACTGACATGCTTGGGGAATTGACCACATCTCTAGGAAGCCTGTTCTAGTGTCTGACCATGCTCTAGGTAAAGAAATGTTTCCTGATGTCAATTTTGAGCTTCCCCTGAGGCAGATTTGAACCATTCCCATGCATCCTATCATGGATCAAGGTGAAGGGATCAGCACTTCGCTCTCCAGTTCCCCTCCTCAGGGAGCTGCAGAGCAAGGCAGTCACCCCTCAGCCTCTCTTTTTCTCCACGTTGGACAAACCCAGAGCCTTCAGCCACTCCTCCCAGGACACACCCTCCAGCCCCTTCTCCAGCTTTGTTTCCCCCCTCTGCACACATTCAGAGACTCTCCCACCCCTCTGGAGTCATTGTGCCCAGAGCAGCTCCCAGCACTGTGGGTGAGGCCACAGCAGTGCTGAGCACAGCGGGTGATGGATGATCCCCCCTGTGCCCGGCTGTGCTCTGGGTTTGATGCCCCCAGGACACGGTTCCTGCCCTCTGGGCTATGCCCTGCTGCCTCTCACTGAGCTGCTGCTGCCCCCAGCACCCCCAGGGCCCTCCCTGCCAGACACTCCTGTCACAGTTTGTACTTGTGCCTGCACTTACTCCATCCCAGGTGCAGGATCTGGCACTTGTTCTTGTTGAGTTTTGTGCCATGAATGATTGCCCAATGCTCCCATGGTATACAAACATTTCAGTTGTGCTCCTGAGCTCTCCATGCTCCCAGGAGCAGCATACATGATCCCAGCTGGCAGTGCCGTCCTAAGTCTAGGCCATGTCAGCCCTTGGTTTATCTTCAGCTCTCCTGGTGGTATGCCCTTCCTTCATCAATTATAGATTAAATCTCCCAATCAGTTCCTCCAGTTTATGAACAAATATACATTTCTTTCATCAGAACGCTCGATCCTGTCATGTCCCAACACACCCTATGTCTCAGATTCTTCAGTGGTTACGAACCCAAGCATTTTGGCAGAGGCACCAGTCCTGAAGCCAGTATGGGTGTCTCAGCATCATTTGCTTCTTTCAAATGTGCCTTACTGCTACTGAAAAGATTGAGAAAAACACTACCCGTGCTCGCTCCTGATTTTTTTAACATTTCATCCAGGGCCCTGAAAACTCCCTTGATCAACTTTGCACGTTTTGTTGGGACATTATTTGTACCCATGTGAAAAAGCAGGTGTGGATAGTAGTCTGAAGTAGTCTAAACTGGGGCCCAGGGAGACAGCACTTGCCTGAAAAGATGTTCCGGTCAGTAAAAGGGTGCTTCTGTTTCACACAGGAGGGAGTCACTAATGACCGTAACTTGCTGTTGTTTCTTGTTGGCAAATGGTCTTAGTACAGATCTTATTGTGAGAAGTTGGTTGGTTGGACTTTCATGAGAATGCTTGAGCAGGTTCCTTCTATCTCAGCTATGCACGTCCTCTGTCATACCCAGGGCCTTGTACCTATTATGTAAAGCTGGTTGAGAGGGTAAGGAGGGTTTTGTCATACGGCTTTGTACAGGAGCCTGCTTCTACCCCTCCTTATCCCTCCCTTGTGCCTTCCTGCGGGCACAAACTCGATCTGGACCTGCCCCTGTAGTGGCTGTGGTGATAAGAAATGTCAGAACACAGCTCTCGCTGTGGTAAAGCTAGGTAGAAGGGACTTATGCTTTAATGTGTTCTCCAGAGAACAGTGTCTTTTGCTCTGTTTCATTTGTTTGTATCATTTGTTTTGTCTCTGGAGACAAGAGATGGGAAGATAGGAAGGAAGAAGTGTGACTCTCGCATTTTAAGATTCTCAATGTCGTGTGGCCAAGTTTGCATGATTTATGTTTTCTGTCACAACAATTCTTACTTCAGAGCTTTGACTGCTCTTCTTTACAGGGTCATACTCTGTCTAGAAGGCTCTGCTGCACATAGCATAAACAAGTTCAAAACTCGTCATAGACATGGCAAGGAGAGGGGGAAGACAAAGACCTGTCCTATATTTTTGGTGCAGTTGAATACTGAATCCATTTTTTTATTCCTGTTTCTTTTTTCTCCTCTATATCCATTGTAGTGGGATGAGGTAAGTGTCCTGGATGACAAGAAGCGCCTGATCCGAACCTTTCAAGTGTGCAACGTGGCTGAACCAGGTCAGAATAACTGGCTGCGCACTCACTTCATAGAGCGGCGCGGGGCCCACCGCGTCCACGTCCGGCTGCGCTTCTCCGTGAGAGACTGCGCCAGCATGCGCACCGTGGCCTCCTCCTGCAAGGAGACTTTCACACTCTACTACCACCAGTCGGAGGCTGACATTGCCTCTCAGGACATGCCGGAGTGGCGTGAGGGCCCCTGGACCAAAGTGGATACTATTGCAGCTGATGAAAGCTTTTCCCAGGTGGACAGCACTGGGAAGGTGGTCAAGATGAATGTTAAAGTACGTAGCTTTGGGCCACTCACCAAGCATGGCTTCTACCTGGCCTTCCAGGATTCGGGAGCCTGCATGTCCTTGGTGGCAGTCCAAGTCTTTTTCTACAAGTGCCCAGCTGTGGTGAAAGGGTTTGCCTCCTTTCCTGAAACGTTTGCTGGCGGGGAGAGGACCTCACTGGTGGAGTCCCCGGGGACGTGTGTACCCAACGCTGAAGAGACGAGCACGACGGGGTCCTCGAGTGTTCGGCTGCACTGCAATGGAGAAGGGGAGTGGATGGTGGCCATTGGACGGTGTACCTGCAAGGCTGGCTACCAGCCTGTGGATGATGAACGAGCCTGCCAAGGTGAGAGAACTTTTTTCCTCTTCCCCTTAGGCAGCCATTTGTTCATTGGTTCTCTGTGTCAGCAATATTTGGCCCTAGCCAAAATTTCACAGAGCTAGGAGAGAAAATAATTTTTCACAGAGATTGCCTTGTAGCAGCCTCCTTTCACACATTTAACTCCTCAGACTGGAGTTGGAGTGACCATTTGTCCTCTAGTTTGGTGTTCTCTAGTTTGGTATTGCCACTAAAACCATGCTGCCACTTGCTCCTCCTCCAGTTGGAAGCACAAAAGACAAAGATCATCAGTTACGATAAGAACAGTTTACTGGAAACAGCAATGAGATAATAAAATGAACATAACAACAACAATATTAACAACAAAAGGTGTATGACAGATGATTTACATGGGAAGTGACAATAAACAAATACTGATCACATTGGTTCTTTCCAACACAGAAAGGTTTTCTCCCAACAGAAAGGAATGCCCTTTTCCTTGACGTGTGAGTGCCTTTCCTCCACCCCTGTCAATGATAAGGGTGGTGTAGAGTAACATCTGTTCCTGGTTACACCCCCACAGCCCTGCCCACTCCAAGCTAATGCAAGAGATTGTCCTTGTCCTGGCCAAAACCAGGACACCACTGCTTGCTGCTAAGAATACGGTTGGAAGCTCCACTCAGGCCTTAGTTACTGCTGCCACCAGAGACAGCCTCTGAGGGTACTCACACAGATCTAGCAGGAGCTGTCACTAGCCAGATCTACCATAATTCCACTTCTTTACCAAGAGGCAGCAGCGCTAGAAGGAAGATGCCACATGGAGGAGCGCTGAGTCCAGAGCTAATACACTCTCTGTCCTAGTTATTTCGGGCCTTTTTGCTAGTGTATAGTAATACAATAAAAAAAGGGGAAAGAGCAGCAGCTTGGTCATGGGAGAGGGAAAATGTGGCTCTGTGAGATTGCCCTGACTAGAAAAAGCAGTCACAATGGTATCATCATTACCAATAATGTACTCTCTGTATTTCTGTGATATGCTTGTCGGAGGAAGTAGAGTACATTACGTATCACTCAGAAGTGATATTGGGCTAAAATCTGGCCAAGCCTGAGCACCCAGTCTAATGTCATGACTGTGTTCCTGTCTTAAGGTTAGGACAGTCTATTAGAGCAAACTGCTTATGTTGGTTGTGTAATTTGTGTGTGATGTTCTTCTGGTGCTTCCTTTGTTTTAACACGCATCTACTCAAAATCTCTCAGCAGTTTAAAATGTTGCTGCGCTACACTTAGTACTCTAAAAGATAAATGTCACGTGGAACACAGTTTTGGCTGCAGACAAAATTTAAAAGTTGGATTTATTCAAACAATAGTTCAACTTGGACATGGAATGTACAAATACTCTGGTTAACACCAGAGTGCAAATGCAATGACTAATTAATGTTGTCAATATTACCTTAAATTTCTGCTTCATGAAGTGATTTGGGTCATGCAAAATAGCTTTATTAAAATACAGGTCATTGTACTGGAAACGTAAAAAGCAATTAAAATTGGTAAGTGCTTTTCACTTGTTTAAACTTTGAGAATAATTAAAATATGTGTGCCTTTTTGTCCTGCTCATTCTGAGAGAAATGTAACTACATTCATTTAGTGCTGCTTCAGAGACAGTAAGCTCTGACAGAGCAGCTCTGTATGGCACTAAATTTGTTGTGTGCATCAGTAGCATGACTAGTTTACAGTCTAAATAAACTGCTAGTCAATAATTTAGTTTCAAATAGTAGTCTTAAGCAGTCAAAAAAAAAAAGAAAGAAATTTGGCTTGCCAAATAAAAACAAGGATTTTTTTAAAAAAAGTCTCTTCCATTTTCCATAATATTCAGTGAAAGCTGATACTTCCTTGCATCCTCATTGTCACAGAAGCTGGAGACAGGTGAAAATGGTTAATATTAGAAGGAATAACTGAAATAATGACAGTCTATCAAGCTACAAAAGTCAGTTCCTATAATTTACTTCCCGAGATTCCATGAGCAGCCTAGAGCAGCCAATGACAATCAAATATGAATCATAATGTCGAAGGGTATTCTTTCCTCCTCATGTTTCTTGTAAACTTCTCTGGCTTGATCATCATTCCCAGTCTCTTCTCCTGCTAACAACATGTTGCTGTCCTGTCTGAATGAAGCCACATTCAGCTCGGGTTCCCTTGCTTGGTGCTCCTCTGTGTGGAGTCCTCTCCAGCCCTTCTCCTCTGTTCTTGTGTTCTCCTTCCCTAAGAACAGATGTCCACCCTGATACAGAGCAACCGCAGTGTTCTAGAGGAAACACAGAACAAAAGCAGTAGCTCATGGGCAGGTTTCTACTGATGATAATGCAGAGAGGTGTTCTTAATAAGACTGAAGAATCAACCAAGGATAAGAAGGAGAAGCAAGTTTCCTTCTCACACTTTGGTAGAAAGAAGAGTGTGTGGGCATTGCCTTCCTCCTCACCATATGCAAGCCTGTGGAGTCCTTCCTGGACCAGCTGTTATCTCTTTATTTAGAGCAACAAATCTGCCAAGAGCCATTCTGAGCAGATAGATAGAAAGCCCTTCTTTTCCCCCTGCCCCCTATCATGATTTAAGGTTCTTTCTTTCCTTATTTTTATAAGACTGCCTGCTCTGTGTTACTATATGGCAGATTTCTCCAGCTAAATAGAAGAGTGAAACAGCAACCTTTAGCAAGCCCTTTGGGTGATGTGTGCAATCTGTGTGGGATTCACTTTTCACTTAATCTAATTAGACTTGTCATGCTGAACAGTCAAAAAAGAGAATGGCAGTTTACAGAGGAAAAAAGAAGCTTGGGACCTTAGTTCCTTTTCTTTCTGTAGATGTATGCACACAGGGTGCCTTGTCATGCAAAATCATATAGGATTTAGATTACCAGGTGCTCTTGAAAATAGTATTTAGACTTTATGACGGGGACATTTTAAAAAATATTTTTTAAACGACAATATAGAAAAAAAAATAGAAGAGGAATGACTGCCTGATATAGTACTAAGCTAACTTCCAAATAAAGAAGGACAGAGCTCTGGATAGAGCTGAGCTGATTAGCCATGTGTGTGGCACCTCTGTACAAACATACTTAACCAGAGGCAGAAAATACCAGCCAGAAAGAGGAGGAGGTAACAAGTTTGGAGTGGAAAGCTTTAAGCTGAACTTGGGAGAGGGAGGAGGATAGGTGTTGGTTTAATGTTTGTTTTTGTTTTCTCATTACCCAAATCTATGTTAATCAGCAATAAATTAAATTTCCCCAAGCCAAGTCTGTCTTGCCTGTGACAGTAATTGGTAAACAAGCTCCCTGTCTTTATAACTTCTTTACCTCTGCCCACAAGTTTTCTTATCCAATTTTCTCCCTATGTCTTGCTGAGGAGAAAGAGTTAGAGGGTGGGCATTTGGGTGTTTACCAAGGTTAGCCATCCACATGGCTGCTTCTCCTCTCTTCTTTCTCTGGATGTTTGTTTCTAAGAGTACTTAGCAAGCAAAAGGTCTGCCTGTCTTCTGTAGTTCATGCAAGGATTCCATAAAATTGCCCATGTCCTTTGATATATGCGGTCCCTTCTGATTGCAGAAGGAATCACATCTGTATTACTGATAACTACAGGAGCAAGCAACTGTGCACGGAGCTGTTGGAGGTCTCATTTGGGAAGAATATTGCATGATTATTTTTGTGTTACTAAAAAATGCCCTTTCTCATCATCTTGGATAAACCTTTTTCAGTGTGTGAGGCTAAAAGAATGTTAAGATTTATGTTAAAATAAAAGATTAGATAGTCTGCTAAAAATATGCACATACTGGTAGCAAAGGGAAAAAAGAGCACAATAAGGTCTTCTTAAATTTTAATCACTTAAAGGATGCTTCCTTTAAAAGCACAGGATAATTTCCGTTGCAGAGACTTGTGAAAGTCATCTGCTCCAACCCCATGCTCAAAGCAGGACCAAATTGGGTTAGGTCACTCAAGGCCTGTTTAGTTATTACTGAAGATGAAGATTACACAATGTCCCTGGGCAACTGTTCCAGTATTTGACAACACCCATGGTGAAATTACTTTTTCCTATGCAGAAGAAGGTTTTAGTAACGTGTAGTAAGAGGTTATTACAGCTTGTGTCTGTTATCTCATGTTCTGCCACCTCGTGCCTACACCTTCATCATATCCTCCCATTAGGTGGCTGATGACAGCCATAAGCTCCCGCCCCACAGCCTGCTCTGCTTCAAACCCAGTGTCTTAGCCTCTCGTGGGTAAGAGCTTTAATTTCAAGGTAAACTCACAGCTGACAACAGTGTTTGGTGCCTTGATCTAGATTACCCTTTTCAATTATTTTTTCTTCCATACTGCTCCCTTCATCAGCTCCTTGAGCCTCCTTCTGCTACTTGCACATACATTTTGGTGCTTCTCAAGTAGTTTGCTTCTTTTCCTGTATCAAGTGCTTGCTGTTTACTCATATTCTGTCCTGCCCTGCCCAAATCTTTCCTCTCGTGTTTTTGCCTTTTTTTTTCATCACACAACCCATTCCCTGGCAGTTCTCCCACATATAATTAGGCAGTAATTGCTTCAGCTCCACCTCTTTTACCTAAAAAATCCCTTACTCAACTGATCTCCTATCAACAGTTAAGGAGGAAAGAGTTCTTCATTTATTTTATCTCAGTTGATTTGGTGCTCTTCTTCAAGACTCAAAAGACACACTTTTCTCTCCTTATGTTTCTTTCATTTTCCAGTCTCTCTTCCTCACCCAAACAGTTGTAGTAAGTGTGAAACTCTAGATCAACCCAGGGCCCTATTGCATCACTGTGCCTGGCTTCTATTGCAGGCTGATCCCACCTTATTCAGAACAAGATGCACAGTAGCAGCCGGTGTGGAATAGCCTGGCCCAGTAGGAATTTACAACCACCATAAGCAAGCCATAGATATATTTATGGGAAGGGGAGGGGGGAAGAAGTGTTTTGTCTAAAAGACACTACAGTTTTTATTTTCTGGTGTGTATTCTGCATGCTAATTATGCTATATT